AGGTCTCTCTTCGTATCTGTTGAGATATGAATGTGTGATGTAATTGTACGAAAAGTGCTAAATAGTACTAAATTGGCGTTTGGGTCAAGGGATAGAAATTAAATTCTGAAATTTAATGTTTAGATTGCTGATGGTGTCTTTTGAGATTTAGGGGTGGTTTGAAAATGTGTCCTATATTTGTACGGAAATTACAAAATAGTACTACTAAATTCGGTAATGGGTGAAGGAAGAGGCTTGAATTCTGAAATTTGATATTTAGGACTCTGTAGGTATCTGGAATTGATGTATGTGGGTAGTTTGGGAAATGCGTCTTATTTTTGTACGGAAAGTACTAAAAGGTAACAAATTTAGTATTTAGGGAAAGCAAAGAGCTTCAATATCGAAATTTACTATTGAGGTATATGTTCATATCTGTGGTTAAGATATGGAGGTGAATTACTTGAATTGTACGAAAGGTACTAAATTTGATATTGGATATCCTAAATATTGATATGAATGTCCCTGTTGGTATATGCAATTGAGATATGGCGATGTTATCGGAAATATGTACTATAAATGTACGAAAACTACTAAATAGAACTAAATTTTGTATTGGGTGAAGGAAGAAGCTTGAATCCCGACATTTGATATTCAGGTCTCATTTGATATCTGGAATTGAGATATGTAGGTGGTTTTAGATGTGTACCATAATTGTACGATAAGTACTGAATAGTACTACATTTGGCATTGTTTGAAGGGATAGGAAGGGAATCCTTGAACTTCGTATCTAGGTCTTTGTTGATATGTACAATTTAGATTAAGAAGTGCTACAATTGTACAAATAGTACTAAATTAGGTTTTGAATCTAGGAATATGTGTACCACAATTGCCTGAAAAGTACTAAGTTTTGTATTGAATAAACTAATGGAGCTGAAAATCTGAAATTTGATATGGATGTCACTCTTGGTGTCTGTGGTTGAGAATAAGCTGATTTTGGATATGCGTAGCATAATTGTACCAAAAATTACTAAATTTGGTAATAGGAGAAACTAAAGAGCTGAAATCCCTAAATTATGTTGGTATCTGTGGTTGAGATATGGAGATTATTTTGAAAATGTGTGCTATTGTTGTTCGGAGAGTAATTAATGCTACTAAATTTGGTATTGTTTGGTGGGATAGAGCTAAACTCGTGAAATTTTATATTTCTGTGGGTATCTGATGATTGTGATATGGAACGGTTTTGCGAATAGGTACTAAAATTATATTTAAAGTACAAACGGTTACTAAATTTGGTATTGAGTGATTGTATAGAGATTGTATGGAGCTGGAATTTGATATTTGAGAGTGTACCATAATTGTGCGAAAAGTACTAAATGGTACTAATTTTACTAATCACTGTTGGTCTCTAGAATGGAGAGATGTAAATTGTTTTGGTTGTGTGTACTAAATGTTTCTAAATTTGGTATTGGCTGAAAGGATAGAGGAGAAATTCTACATTTTGATATTTAAATCTTCGTTGGTTTCTAAGGTTTACATATGGAGATGTTGAAATACTTTTGGAGTGAAATATTGAATGTGGGTCTATTCTGCAATGATTTTAATAATAAAACTAATATATTTTGAAAACTAGTTGGTGTAAAATGTAAAGGTATTCTTTCCGAAGAAGGAAAAACTTGAATAATATATAAATCCGTGAAAGATTGAAAATTTGGTATGAAGTTTTGATTAAATACTGATGTCAAACTGAACTGGAACATTTTGAGTACTAACAAGTAAAAACAAGTAAGCAAAGGCTACAGTCGAGCGGGGCCGACCGTTGAATACCCTACAACACTATAATAAACGATACAGTTTATATAGGCGAGATACTCGAAAGAATTCCACAAGATATTGTGACAAATAATAAAAGAAAACCATCAGGTTTCGTTCTCTAATTTTCGAATAATAGCAACTTAAACGAATTTGCTCATTTCCAATTTATTGGAAGATGTTGCACGTAAATGGTCTTCCTAGATCTGGAACCAATATTTCCCAAAGACCTATAATCTCTCAGAAGTGGCAAAAGATTAACATTTATTATTGGTTTTTGACTGAATCGCATCTATATGAGATACAGACATTTGACTATATTCTTCAACGAAATCAGCGTTAACGAAATAGTCAGAAGTGTGTCCTTCCTGTATTTGTGAATTCTCCAAAAAGGAATGAACCTTTTCGTATTTTTTCTACAAAAGTTGGCAAACTATTTCACACATTGAATATTTTTGGATGGCCATCCAAAACTGCTTGGCTTTTGCAATGCCCGGTAACCCCCATTCAAATGTGCGTGAGGATCGGGCAATGATTACGACCTGCTGACAATTTTGCAGTTTTTTGGTCCATTTCAACCCCTAAATATATGGCGATCATCTCCAAAAAGAGTAGGCTTCTATTCTGACCCTCATCTGATCCCCATGCAAAATTTCGTTAGGATCGGGCCATAAATGCGATCTGTATATGATATCCTAATTTCCTAACTACTTAGTTTTGTTAGCTGTAGAAATATTACCAAATGTTTAATTCAAAATGAAAATATGCCAAAAATGTGACAAAATTGAAAAAAATATGAGAAAATGTTACAAAATCAATATTTTCAGCTTTAGAGAGATATGTTTATGCGATTTTTTTAGACGTTTTTCCTTTCCTACCAAGAGGCCATTCTGAATTAATGAGAACTGTCGAAATCAGTTCAGCCGTTCTCGACATATAAGAGATCTTTCAAGCATATCTTCTTTGATGGACATATATATCGCACATATTTTGCTATATATCCGATTAGTTGGATATTAACATCAATGTAAAGGTCAGAAGTAACCTTGTCATGGCTTTGTGATTTCGCCGGGATTTAAAATATTCGCGGTTTAATAAAAAATTTTGAATTTTTTCAACACAAAAGATATGGTGTATTTTACCCGCTAAATATTATCCGATGACCACCCAAATGGATAGGCTTCTTGCCAGCCCTAAACTCTAGCTACATGCGAAATTCCGCGTCGATTGGTTTATAATTGCGACCTGTATAGCTACTGCAAAATCCGACATTTTTTCAGTATTTGGTCCATTTCAACCCCTAAACATTTGGCAATCATCTCCAAGTGCAATAGGGTTCTATTCTGGCCCAAACCCCTCCTCCATTCTAAATTTCGTGAAGATCGGGCCATAATTGCGACCTGTAGAAAAATAACATGGACAGACGGATAGACGGACGGACATACATAGCTAGATCGACTCAGCTCGGCGAGCTAGGAAGATCCATTTATACTTTCCGATATGGGAAACCACTATTTCGAGGTGTTACATAAATTCTGGCCCAATCAAACTTATAATACCCCCAACACATAGTGTTGTAGGGTATAAAAACATTAAGTTCGGCCGGGCCAAACTTTTAATACCCTCCACCTTAGGGTAAAGGAAACATTAGAAGAAATGTTGCAAAAACCCTTAAAATGCCGAATATCATATAATGGAGGCTATACCAAATCGTGGACCTACACAAGCAATGTTTCGCCAACGGAGCTAGAACCCATTATGACCTACAAATACCAACTTTCAGACAAATACGTGAAAAAATGTGGCAAAACTCATCAAATTACCGAATATCGGGAGGTACCGTTATATGGGGGCTATACCAAAACGTGGACCTATAATTACAATGACTCGCCACACGAACTGGGACCCATTATAATCTACAACTACCAATTTTAAGAGAAATCCGTGAAAAAATGTGGCAAAAATAATCAAATTACCGAATATCGGGAGGTACCGTTATATGGGGGCTGTACCAAATCTTGGACCCATACATGCAATGTTTCGCCACACCAACTAGGACCCATTATGACACACAAATACCAATTTTTAGACAAAGTAGTGAAAAGATGTGGCTAAAACCAACAAAATACCGAATATCGGGAGGTACCGTTATATGGGGACTATACCAGAACGTGGACCTATATATGCAATGTTTTGCCACACGTACAGGGACCCGTTATGACCTACAAATAACAATTTTCAGACAAATCCGTGATGAAATGTGGCATAAATCATCAAAATAGCGAATATCGGGAGGTACCGTTATATGGGGACTATACCAGAACGTGGACCATTATATCTCATTTTCAATACCAACCATCCTACACACAATACGAATTGCTGTGCTAAATTTTGGCGCTCTACGTCAAATAATGTGGGCTGTATCGTGATTTCAACAGACAGACAGACGGACAGACAGATAGACGGACAGACAGCCAGACGGACATCGTTAAATCGACTTAGAATTTTATTCAGATTATGAATATATATACTTTATGGGGCCTAAGACGAATATTTAAGGATGTTACAAACTGAATGACAAAGTTAATATACCCTGCTTTCCAAGGCGGAGGGTATAAAAAGGCCTAACACGAACTCTTGGAACGAATTTAAGTTTTAAGGTAGATTTTTCTCAGACGAAATAGTGGCTCCTTGCCGGTATATGATGTAAAATGAAATATTATCAACGAATCCAGCCATGTTCTCGATTTATTTTCATCTGCCGTGGAAAGAAAAGACTCTCACACCACGCATCACGAAAGATTTTGAGCAAGACTACCTACTTTTAAGGAAACTTACCTAAAAACATATACAAATTTGGCATATCGGAGGTGGGCCATGCTTCTTGATCCCCAAACCTGGCTTCTTCGCTCGAACTCTGATTGTGACTTCAGCTCTAGACGAGAACTGTGACAAAGGCTAGAATCTTATCAATCTGAAAAAAAAAAAAACAGAGTGATTGAGAATTATTCCTTTAAACCATGATAGCGATTCTCACTACAACAAGCAAATTTTATTTCCTTGTAAAAGAAGCTTAGTATTTTTCCGTTTCGTAGTAATTACATTTCTTGTGGTATCTCCCCGACACCCTCAATCCACCACAATCACATCAAATTTCTTAATAACTTGCCAAATTTCATAACTTATTTTTCCTCTCCTTCTTTCTATTCCAGATGAACGCCAGGACATTCAAAAGAAAACATTTACAAAATGGATTAATTCACATTTGATTAAGACAAAATGCACGCCGGTCAATGATTTATTTCTTGATCTGAGAGACGGCCATCGTCTGTTGGCGTTGTTGAGCGTTCTCACCAATACACAACTGGTAAGTTTAGCAAAAGTAGCAGAAATGTGTCCTTGACAGATACCATCTTATTCCAATATCGAAAAAAATAAAGAAAACAAAACTCAAAAACAGAAAATTTAATTTTTTTTATTCTGCCATTACAAGAAAAACCCAAACAAAAAATGTTTAGAGTTGTCAACGCAACGAAAGGACAAACAAACGAACATCTCAGCAGCCGACCACCTATTGACAATGAAATTTTGTTCCTTTTATGTTTTTTTTTCCGTTGTTTTTGGAAAAAACAAAAAGGACACAACATTGTATGGCAGCAACCAGTGTGGGTTTTAGCCACATAAACCATGTCTGGTTTGTGGTTTTACCTTGAATTTCCTTTGAAGTGAAAGAAAAAGGGGAGGCAGAAGAGAGGGGGTATTTGAAAGGATATTATATATTTTTCTGATATGATTAAATAACTTTAGATATATTTTTATAGGATTTTCTTTTCACAAAAATTGACAATTTTCGAACAAAATTAAATCTCAGTGCAATTTGGCTGTGTTGCTTTGGATTTTCTTTGCCTTATTTCTTCATGCCATAAAGTTGTAGGAGTAAATTAAGGAAATACAGAACAGATTTTTGTATTAAAAAAAATGTTTTTTTTTTATATTTTAAAAATCTGTTTCCCCCAACCAAAAACTCTTTTAATTCCAATTTTTTATGAGAACATTTTTATCCTTGCTTTCTATTTGGCACATATGATAATATAAAGTCGAAAAACAAATTTACCGTCAAAAAGGTGAAAGGTCACAGTCTTAAAATGGTACGGAGGGTTCAAAATTAGCACAATACTATAGTGCATTATACTGTACCGATGATCTTAATTACATGCACACTAATAAAGAAAAAAACTTAACCCATCATAAAAACCGGCGCACAGGTTTAATGCTGATCTTATTTTGAAGATAAATTTTAGGAAGCGATTTAGAGTCTCAATAATATATTTGTCGTTCTCGCCATCTGTATCTCAGATATATTTCAGGAAGAGATTTAAAGTCTCAATGATATATTTGTTGTTACCAGCGCCATCTGTATATCAACATTATGATAAATACAATTATTAAGGCCAACGCTATTAGGCGATTAAGGGGATTCTCATTGGTGCATAGTTTTGAGATGGGGCTAGGCTTGGTGTTGTGAGCACCATCTCTGCATCAAATAAAAAATCTGATAAATATAAATATTTAAGATGTTGTGAGCGTCACCTACGAATCAACAGTGAGCTAAATATAATTTTTAGCGTCCACGCTGTACGTCTAATGCCATAAACTTAAAAACGCAGTTGGGGATTCCCACTGATGCACAATTATGAGTTTGGGCTGGGATTTTTAAAATCTAATCTTATATGCGTTGACACTGTAAGCGCCATCTATAGTTCAAAATTCGGATAAATACAATTGTATATGCTTATTGGAAATAGCCCTAGTGTGCGCTTTAATATTATTTCTTTAGATTGGTTAAAATGTCCAGAAATAGAAATTTGTCACAAAAGTGAGCCGGCTTAAACGAAATAGTTTTTAACGCCTACGGTTCTAGGCTTTATTAATCTCGACATAAAAGCAAAAATATCGTTTGTGCTCTGAACGCCATCTATAGATCAATAGTCTTATAAACAACAAGTAAAAAAGCAGCTAAGTTCGACCAGGCCGAACTTTTCGACGGAAATTGAAAAATTTCAAAAAAAAAATCAAAAAAAAACTATCACTTAATGGGGACTATACGAAGACGTGGATCTGCATACGAAAATTTTTGTCATATGCTGTAGTGCCCATTACGAACTTCAAATACAAAATTTGTTACAATTACGGTGAATAATGTCGCAAAAATCATGAAAATACGGAGTATAGGGAGGTACCGTCATATGGAGGCTAAACGAAGACGTGGACCTGCATACGATTTTTTTCCGATAAGTTGTAGTATCCATTAAGATTTTTCAATACGAAATTTGAAACAATTCCGGTGAATAGAGTTGCTGAAATCGCCAAAATACCGAATATTGGGAGGTACTTATATATGGGGTCTATACGAAGTCCTGAACCTGCACAGACAATTTTCTGCCATAGACTGTAGTTCTCATTACGAACTGTAAATACGAAATTTGAAACATTTCCGGCGAATAATGAGGCTAAGATCATCAAAATACCAAATTTAGGGAGGTACCGTCATATGGGGGCAATACGAAAAAGTGGACCAGCTTAGACAATTTTCTGTCTTAGGCTGTAGTATTCATTTCGAACTTCAAATTCCAAATTTGAAACAATTCCGGTGAATAATGTCGCGAAAATCATCAAAATACCAAATATCGGGAGGTACCGTTATATGGGGGCTATATGCAAACATGGACCTGCATGACCCATTTACGAACTTAACCTGCCTACTGGCAAAATAAACATGGATGCAAAATTTAGCCTTCTATCTCAATTCGTTCGAAATAAAGCGTGATTAAAACAGACAGACGGACATCGCCAAATTGACTTAGAATTTTACGCTGATCAAGAGCTCGGGGGTAAAGTGCTTACAAAGAACTTCTAGTATGGATTTTTAGACAATTCCATTGAAAAATGTAGCTTAAATCATTAAAATGCCGAATATAAGGAGGTACCGTTATATGGGGGATATACGATATCGTGGACCTATGTAGACAATAATTTTCCAGGGGGTTTAGTACTCAGAAGTAACTCCTTTGTGGATTTTCAGACAATTTCCGTTTTCCGGAACCGTTATATGGTGGCTATATGATATCGTGGACGTATATATACACTTCTCTTTCAAGGGGTAAAGTGCTCACAAATAACTCCTTGTGTAGAATTTCAAACAATACCATTGAAAATATGGCTAAAATCATCACAATATCGAATATCGGGGTACCATTATGGGAGCTATACGATATCGTGGACCTATATAGCCCATCTTCGAACTCGATCTGCCTGCAGACAAAAGACAGATCTGTGCAAAATTTCAGCTTCCTATCTTTATTCGTTTCGACTCTAGCCTGATCACAACAGAGGGACATACAGACGGATAGGCGGGGCTAACTTATCTTAGAATTTCACGCAAATCAAGAATAAATAAACTTTGTTATGTCTAAAATTATTATTTTGATGAGTTACGAACGGAATGACGAACTTAATATAATATACTTAATGGAGGGTATAAAAACTGAACCCATTTCGGAAAAGTGGTGCATAGGTTCGGGGCAGGGCTACGTATCAATGTTTTTTTTTTTTTTTAAGAAACAATTAAAATGTACAAACTAATTTGTTGGGTGTTCTGAGCGCAATTTGTATGCCAACAAAATGGTAAATGAAATTATTAATGACTACACTGCATGGCCAAGGATGTAACTTTGTATATTTGAAAGCGGTTCCCCTGGTGCACAATTTCGAGACTAGTCTGGTTTTAAAAAATTTGTCTTAGAAGCCTTAAATTGCTCGAAAATATCTTTGTTGTTATGAGCGCCATCTGTGGATCAACATTATGGTAAATACAATTGTTTACGCCCACGCTGTACAAATAAAGCTGTGATCTTGAAAATTTTGAAGATGCTTCCTCCTGGGGCATGGCATCGAGACTTGTCAGTGCTTCTGGTACTAAATTTGAAACAGTTTGGTTTAGGATGAACGAATGAAGCTAGAATTTTATAATTTTGTATTGGAGTCCCTGTTGGTGGAAAGTTTGTGACAAAGAGTTGTTTTCGGATATATGTGAAACAAGTGCCCGAAAAGTACTAAATAGTACTGTATTTGGTACAATGTTATATTGGGTGAACAGATAGTGCTTCAAATCTAAAATTTAGTATTAGCGTCACTGTTCGTGTGTAGCCTGGACAAATGGGGGTGATTTCGGGCATGTGTACTACAAATGTATGAAAAGTACCTAATGGTACAATATTTGATATTGGGTGAAGATTCTGAAATTTGATATTTAAATTACCGATGGCATCTATGTTTCAGTTTTGGTGGCGGTTTAGAAAATGTGTCTTATATCTGTACGAAAAGTACTAAATTTGGTATTGGGTGAAGGGATAGGGCTGGAATCTCAAATTTGATATGAATGTCTCTGTTGGTATGTGAAATTGAGATATGAGGTGGTTTTGCAAATGCGTACTATAACTGTTCGATGATACTAATTTTGGACCATTTGTCTAGGATGGATAGAATGTCAAGTATGTTACTAAATTTTTGTATTGGTAAAGACAGGGGCCGAAATTCTGAAATTTTACATTGAGGTTTGGTGTTAAAGTAAACATTTTCCTTTAATTCTCCCCGAAAAAGAAAAAAAACTTGAATAATGTAGAAAACCTTGAAAGTCTGGCCTAACGCCATCTATAATTGAATATTAGAAAAAATATAACCAATAAACTTTTTTTCTAACGCTTGGTATGTGGTTTTATCTTAAAAGATTCAACAATCTGAAAAACAACATCACTGCAGGTTACACAACGATCAAAAAATCGGAGAAAATACGATCCTCCTCCAAAATGGTTACTTCTTTGCCACATTTTACATATTTTACATAAAAATGTAAATTTTACGCTAGTTGAGTCTTAGAATGATTTAAAATTTCTGCATTTATTCCTGAATTGAAGACTTGCAATAAACATGAAGCCTGAACATGAAGTCTAGAAGACTTGCAATAAACATGAAGCCTGAAGATATTTTGGCGGCACGTACCCTTAGAAACTTTATTTTTTTCTCCACTGTTCGATTTATTTTCACCCATCAAGAAACTCCCGATTCTGGAAGTTTCGAAATAAAAAATAAAAATTATAAATATATCAAAACGAGCTGTAGTTATAAATGGATGTTATCCTTGTTAAAGGCTTAGCTACCTGGGATACAAAGGCAATAATGGTTTCAATAGCGAAATACTACTTGTAATGGGTAAGTTCACGCTTTGATTCTGAATCATAGTTAGTACCACTACCAGTGTTGCCGTTTGAAATTTTTATTTCAGCCCAAATTTTTTCTAAAAACCGCCCA